TGGACAACATGATTTTTAAATCCAAAGAGCGAGAACGCCACTACACTGCACTGGAGAAATTCTTTCAACGAATCATAGAGTATAGATTGAGGCTGAAACCCCAGAAGTGCACCTTTGGGGTGACAACAGGAAAGATGTTGGGTTTCCTAATCACACAGAGGGAAATTGAAGTGGATCCGTCCAAAATCAAGCCATCTTAGAAATTCCACCACTAAGGACTGAAAAGGAGGTGCGCGACTTTCTGAGTAAAGTGCAATTCATAAGGCAGCTTATTTCAAAAGTAGCTTTGACTTGTGAACCATTATTTGATCTCTTCAAGAAGGAAAAGAAGTTTCAATGGGACGATCGCTGTCAGTTTGCCTTTGAACAGGTCAAGCAATATTTGCAGAATCTACCTGTGTTATCACCACCAGAACCGGGAAAATCATTGATCTTGTACCTATCAGTGACGAATTCGACTATGGGGTGCATGCTAGCTTAAGAATCTAAAGCGAAAGTGGAGAAGGCCATCTACTATTTGAGCAAAAAGATGCTAGACTACGAGACCCGCTACACACCCCTCGAAAAAGCTTACCTAGCCTTGGTATGGGCTACCAAGAAGTTGAGGCACTACTTGTTAGCTCATTCTGTAATCTTGGTTTTAAGATTAGATCCTGTTAAATATCTCTTCAAGAAACCAGCGCTTACAGGTAGGCTAGCTCGTTAGTTGCTTCTTCTCTCTGAATTTGATCTCAAATATGTCACGCACAAATCTGTTAAAGGGAGAGCTGTAGCAGAATTCCTGGCAGACCACCTGGTAGAAGGAGATGAAGCAGTGGAATACTTGTTCCCAAATGAAGACATTCTATATGTAGAGGAGGAAACGTGGACGATGTACTTTGATAGGGTGGCTAATTAGTATTGTTATAAGATAGGTGTGTTGCTTATAACACCCGATGATTATCACATACCTTTAGTGTTCAAACTCCGGTTCAGAGTGTCTAACAATGAAGCAGAATATAAGGCGTGCATTGCTGGTTTGGAAGCCACTCTAGAACTAGGGGCAATTAGGTTGGACGTTATTAGGGACTCGAATTTGGTTGTCTCTCAAGCTAACGAGGATTGGAAGGTCAAAGAATAGAACATGAATATGTATCATCAGGCCTTGAATATTCTGATTCTTAGGTTTGAAAAACTAACGTTTACACATTTGTTAAAAGAGAGCAACTAGTTCGCTGTTGCGTTAGCAACTCTATCTTCCATGGTATACATCCCGCTGGGAGTGAAAATGTGTCCAATCATCATTGAACAGAAGTATACGCCTGCTTACCAGACCATCGTCACAATAAATGAGGTGCAAGACAAGAATCCCTGGTATTATGACATTTGGAATTTCCTATAAAAAGAGACGTATCCACCAGGGGAAAATGCCAAAGATAAACAGGGGATATGACGCTTGGCCGTCCAATTTATCATCTACGAGGGTAAGCTGTACAAGAGAGGTCATTTGGGAATGCACAAGTTATGTGTTAAAGAATAAGAGTCAAAGCGTCTGATGGAAGCCATCCACGGAGGAGAGTGCAGAGCACACATGAATGGTGTGATTCTGGCTCAGAAGATTCTCAGACAAGGCTATTACTGGTTGACTATAGAGGAGGATTATATTGATTTTGTTCGACGATGCCACAAATGTCAAATCTATGCTAATCGTATGAACATATTGCCGTCAAAGCTCTACAACATAACATGACTTCATCGTAGCCTTTTTCAGTCTGGGGAATTGACGTCAATGGGGCAGTCTTGCCAAAGGGTTCGAGTGGCCATGAGTTTATCCTGGTGGCGATTGACTACTTTACTAAATGGGTGGAGGCCCAGTCTTACTCTGTATTGAAGGTATCACATATGGCTACGTTCATCAAGAATAATATTATTTGCCAGTATGGAGTGCCAAATGAGATCATCTCCGATAACGGCTCGCACTTCAAGAAAGAGGTGGTGGATCTGCTTTAGAAATATAACGTGGTTTTTTATTAGTCATCGACGTATAGGCCACAGACCAATAGAGCAGCTGAGGCCGCAAACAAGAATGTGAAGAACGTCGTGCGGAAGATGGTTGAAACATATAGGGACTGGCCGGATAAACTGTCATTTGCACTTTAGGGCTACAGGACATCAATTCAAACATCTACATAGGCAACCCCCTATTCCCTAGTGTATGGAATGGAAGTTGTTCTGCCGATTGAAATTAAGGTACCGTTGCTACGAGTAATGGCCAAGTGTCAAATAGTAGAGGCAGATTGGCAACAAAATAGGTTTGAGAAACTTATGCTATTTGACGAAAGGAGGTTGAGGGCATTATACCGTATCTAGGGCTACCAACGCAGAATTGTTAGGGCTTTTAATAAAAAAGTTAAGTCCAGAAATCTCAAAGAAGGGGACATGGTGCTGAAAGACAACCGAGCTCCCATTCACGACTCTAAGGGCAAGTTCAGGCCCAATTGGACTGGTCCTTATATCATCAAGTCAATCTAGTCAGGGGGAGCGATTATTCTCATGGATTTGGATGGCTTGGAATTTTCACAACCGATCAACATGGACAAGTTGAAGAAATATTACCCCTGACAGGCTCACTAGGCTAAAAACCCGAAAAGGCAACCTAGGCAAAAGTTAGAGCATAGAAATTAGAAACAAAACAAAAACAAAAAAACTGAGCTCGCAAGACCTAAAACCCGAAAGGGCGGCTTTGACAAAAGTTAGAGCGCAAAAGGAGAAAGTTAATACTCGAGTGAACCCTAATCGAACTACGTAAGGCCTGATTCCCATTTTTGGGATACATAGGTAACTTCATTCCGAAGTTCGGCCATAACCATCTCCAAATCAACTATCATGTTTCCATCATTTGTCAACTCGGTTGAGTTGCCTCCATTTGGTAGAAAGGTTAGTTGCAAGATAAGGCAGTGATGTTAATATAGTTGTAGGCAGTTATGATCTTTTGATTTGGGGTTGTACATCTTGAGGATGGATTCTATATGTGTCAGGTGGTGATAGTGTTCAAAAATTGTTTTGAAAAGTTTTAATAAAGTGGATTGTTTCTCAAAATTTACTTTTTACAACGTGAACCATTTTGGGACCAAAAGGAAAATTTTCAGTGCTCACAACATTAATTTTATTAATTTCAGCACAAACACATTCTCCAAATCTAAATCAAAGTTACTTTTACATCATAAAACTGGGGGAAAAAAAAGAAAAAAAAAAAGAAAAGAGATCAAATTAGTAAAACTAAGGGCACAGCTAAGTCAAGTAGCTCTATGTCTTCAGCTTGCACTCGTGGAAGTTTCTATAGCTAAAGATGGCCCAACCTGTTCTTCGTTTTTAAGCTAAGCCAAGCACTTGCCATAAAGGGCATAACTAAAGTTAGGGGTAGGGACCAGAAGCTCCCTCATCCTCCAAGCAATGAGGTACCAAATCAAGTTTGAACCACGAATAAGAAATGAAGCCAGGTATTCCACTTCTTCACCTGGACGTGTCTGATCATGCCCAAACTGGCGTCTGAACCCGAAGGAGAAATAGAATATGTAGTGTGTGAGGCCAATTAACTGTATACTCGGTTGTCAGGATATACTGCAACTTATCTCCGTCAAGTTAAGCCAGGGGCAATGCCAAGCTATGTCAGCCGCAGATTTACTGCACATCCAATCACACCACAACCCCTCTGAAGGGAAATCCACTAGCCGTTAGTGAAAGAAGTAAGCTCGGGCTGAGTACTTAGGGCAATGGTCCACCACTTTCAGCTTATCCATCAACCGTACCTGGGAATTGATGAAAAATAAGAAAGATTAAAGAATAGAAAGATGTACGTTGAGAGAAAAGTAAGGAAAGGGCTAAAGAGGAAAATAGAGAATGAGTGTTGAGTGGCGTGAGGATCATAAATAAAAGGGCTGGGAAATAATACCTGGAGAAGCAGCGAGCTCCCTACAAACCGAGTAGTTTCTCGTCGACGGAAAACATCAAGACCCATCAAAGTTTCGGTCAGTGCCAAGCCCATGCAGCTTTTGCCCTCTTTCAGACACTAGGCCACTTCGATCAACTGAATGCTAGCCATGCCGACACTAGGGGGAGAAAGGAATTGCACAAGCAGATAGCATATTGTCGGTAGCCTCGCCAGAGAAGGTCACTCTTGTCTCCAATAACGAAAAATCGATGAACTAAACCTGGGATGTCCAACACCCTGTTGTGAGCCAAGGATCGAGCCTCATGCAAAGGGAGCCCACGCATCCGTCCCAAAGCCTGGGCATGGCCAAAACGGAACTGAGGCATAATTTCTTCGTCGCGCCGGGATTCCATCAATGCTTGAAATTCTTCGAGCGTTAGACACATTTCTTGTTATCCGAAATGAAACACATGCCTAATTGGGTTCCAGCACCGGACCGCGACATGGAGGAACGAAAAACAAAGTGGGGTGCAGCTCAATAGAAAAGGAGCGTTTAGGCCGAAATCGCCAAAATTCATCGTTTTCGAGCCGTCTAAAGTGGTTATCCAGTCTCGAAGCCTATTATTGAAAAAGATTTCCATTTTGAGAGCAAAATACCAAAGACTTGCTATTTTGCTGAGAAAATTGTTTAGGAGCACCTTTACAGACTTTGAGATGGAGCAGTGCATAACCGCTAGATCCCACTGGCCGACATCACTTTTAGAGCTAGCCGGCTCTCATTGGAGCCCGGTCATGCCTATTTGGAGCTTGCCGGCACTTAATGACTGCCTAGATCAAAGCAGTTGCAAAGAGGGCAGGTTTTCACCTTGGCGTGCCAGAGCTGTGTTTTAAGTTTTGTCTTGTTTGCATCAAGTGTTGTTTAGTGTTTTTAGGTTGTTTTCATTTTATTTTTATTTATTTTTTGTGTCATCGAGTTGTATTTTGTATTTTTGACCGGTTATAAGTTGTTAGCCGATTTAATAATCAATTCAAGAGCAAGTTTTCACGTTCTAACGCCTTGTACAAGATTATCATGCAACGGTTATGCCATACAGTCATCGCATGCTATGCAATACAAGAGAAGTCACCCAAAATTTTCTTTTCATAATTTACGAGTCCAAACCCGATCATTGTCTTACACAAGCAAAAACAAAAGAAAAGTTTTAAAAAAAAAATACAAGGGTCTATTTGAAGCTAGTTCTTAACTACAAAGCAAAAGAAAAGAAAAGAAAAGTGAGTATCAACTCATCATCGCCCTCTTCCTCTTCAACTGCGGAGGAGGTGCGTTGCTATCGTCACTGGGGCTGCTGGACTACATGTCGACCTCATCCCCCTCATCCTCAAGGGTCGTGTACCCGCCAAAGGACTTCTCAGAAGATGAGCAATGCCTCACTCTACCTCTCCCCCAGTCGGCCCATCCTCTGCCTCTCACTGGGCCCCGTCTCCCTTTCCTCCCAGTTGGAGAAGGTCCTGTAGGTGCAGCTGGCGCCGACTCAAGCTGAAAACATCACCAATATCAGTATAGACTCAACAGAATAGTAAACAAGATTGCAGCAAAAGTGAACTATAAACAGAGTATACCTCAATCCTGTGAGTTTCCAGAGCAATCTGTCTCCTCCACACCATGAGAAGCAGTCAGTCAATCGTCCGGAGTAGGTCATCGGCATACGCCGTAAGTACCTACAAAAGGAAGAGAATTTGAGAACAATGGACAAAAATAACAAGGTATAGTGAACAGAAATAGTCGAGGACAGGAAAAATAAAGTGCAATGGGTACCTGCTCGATGTCGGGAGCAATCACCTGTCTGCGATCCATCTTCTCGATATGCTCAAGGGGGACCTGCTCAATCACCCCGTCTAGTAGCATGTATATGACTTCAGTAGAAATCGCAGGAAGCCAAGAATAGGAGTGGCAGTAGGGGCACCTCCAGCAGCAGCAGCAGCAGCTTTGGGAAGTAAGCAAGCTATGCGCTTGGTAAAAGCGTCATCACCCGCGTCTATAAGAATGCAGTAAAATCGTCGTCCTCGTGGTGTTTGTTACCGTCTTCTTCCTGTATCAGGTGATCAATCAGAGGCTCATCATGCAGATCATCGACAATCCTTACGCCAGGAAGAAGAAGATGTGGAATATTGGGATCATTAGGCAGGCGCCACCCCAATCATACTTCCCCACCCGCTACAGATGCACCAGTGCTCCCAAAAGATAAAGCCCCATGGTATTTTCCCTATTCACAAACAGGGTAGTACCGAGGAGATACATAAGAAATCAGCGAGCGTACTGAGTGACCTCCTTTGGAGTAGTTGGCCGAAAATTAGAGAAGTGCTCCAAGAACCAACTGTATCTCACTATCACAGGACCGACAGTATCTGGGATCACTCCAAAGAGGTGGAGCTGGGCAGCTTTCCAGTGCGCCATGTCTGGATCAAAAGGGATCGAGCTACCAACCCTGACCCACAAGCCAGTAAGCATCGAGAAGTCGTATAGGGTCAAAGTCAGCTCCCCGATCAACAAGAAGTGGAACGAATCTATGGTGTCCCACCATCGCTCTGCTAGGGCCCTGTGTAGAAATAGGTCAGCCCTCATCTGCACCAGTCCTAAGCAGAAAGGCCCGAAGCCAACCGTGTCAACTAATGCACAAACCTCTGCAGGAAGCCTCTTGTACTAGTGCCTAGGGCCAGAAATAGACCCATAACCTCTAATCCTTTTGGCCATCACCTGTAGTATGGGAATGTTGTCAGTATCTATAGTACCTTGAAAGGAATTCAAATATGCTCAAATAAGAAAAGAATTGTGCTTACCATGGAGGCATCGGCGGACAAGTGCTTGATAGGCTCCCGCAGTAAGATGTCGTCGTTAATCCCTAGAATAAGGCCCTCAAATCGCAGGATACTGCTCGGGGTCAGAACATGTGTACGTGGCTGGTAGGTGGCCACATCAAATGGTCTATCAGCAAGGGGAGGCAACTCTGGCTCAAGGATGGGAGAAAAGACATCCTCGGCCTCCATATCCTCACCTAAGGTAGCACCAATACGCATGACGGGGTCGGGGATGGGAACCTTATTACTAGCCATGGAAGGAAAGTGGGGAAATGGAGAAAAGTGAGTAAGTGAGTGAGTTAGAGTGAAAAACCCAAAATCCCAAACCCTAGGAGAGAGAATAAAGAGAAAGTGAAAAATAAGAGGAAGATGGGAAAGTGTGAATGAAGATGTGAGAAAGGAAGAAAAACCAAGAGAGAATCCCTAAACTCAATGAAATCAAATTTTGTTTAGTTCAAAGCGTAAAAGAGTGAGTGGGTTTTACGAAAATATTCAAGAGGGTTTATGGGTTTTGCGGCAATAGGGAAAATCTAGAGGGAAAGGAGGCTTTGAGAGGAAGAAGAAGGTTTTTAGAATGTAGGCTTGTGTGGAAAAAGGGTTGGGTTTGATTTAAACCAACCGTGGGCTTGGCATTTGCCGAATCTGCCCTTGCTGCCATCGCGAGCCGGCCAGCTCTTTTTAAGTCGGCCGTACTTCATTGGGAGCCGGCTGGCTCCAAATGGAAACCTAGTTTTGGTTTTTGTTTGTTTCAATGTGTTTTAGTGTTGGGTTTGTAAAAGAAAATAGGGGTGTAGAAACAATGAAGAGGGTATTGAAGGAGAAAAAAAAGTAAAAAAGAGGAAGGTGAAGAAAAAGAAAATAAAAAACGAAGAGGAGAAGAATCAAGAAAATATATATGAAAAAAAAAAAGAAGGGAAAATAGGAGGAAAAGAAAAAATGAAAAGAAAGGAAAAAGTTTTTGTACTGTGCTCGGCTTTATTCATTTAACTTGTTGAATTCATAGGTGTTTAAGATCCATAATTTGTTTAACTCATGTTTTATTAATTCATAGTTGGGTAATTTCTTAATTAGTTTGAGCTCATAATTTTTTTTGTTTAGAGTTGTTCCGAAGTCATAATTAATTCGTTTCTCACGTTGTTAATTCATGCTTTGGTCCATTATCTCGTTGTTTTGAGAATTTGTAATGTGTTCCATTATTCAAGCTAAGTCTATTTTCAAATTTGGCAAACTTGCTTGTAAACTTTGCTATTTCGAGTCTAGTTTTCGATTTGTGGGTTTCTTTTGTTGAATTGTGGAAATTTTTGTTTATGCTTTTTATTGGTATCTTCGTGGACTTCATGGGTTCATTTTCCGAGGCCTTCCCAGGGATGGGATAATCTTGCTCTACTCTGATTTGTTTGTTTCTTCAGTGAATCCACCTCCTCTCCTCTCGCGTGAGACTCGTTAGGATTGTTCAAATCAGTTAAAACCAGCAAGTGCGCCAATTTGTTCACACCATCTTTCCTCCTCTCGTGTGAGACGCGTTAGGATTGTTCAAATCGGTTAAAAACATCAAGTGTGCTCGGTGTTCACACCATCTTTCCTCTTCTCATGTGAGATGCGTTAGGATTGTTCAAATCGGTTAAAAACATCGGGTGTGCATGGTGTGCACGTTATCTTTCCTCCTTTTGCGTGAGATGCATTAGGATTGTTCAAATCGGTTAAAAATAGAAGATGCGCCTGTTTGTTCACACCATCTTTCCTCCTCTTGCGTGAGACACGTTAGGATTGTTCAAATCGGTTAAAAACATCAGGTGTGCCCGATGTTCACACCATCCTCCTCTCCTCTCACATGAGACGCGTTGGGATTGTTGTTTTCTTCAGTTAAAAATAGCAAGTGTGCCTGTTTGTTCATTCCACCTTTCCTCTTTTCGCGTGAGACGCATTAGGATCTAGAGTTCCTTGGTTAAAACCTTGGGTGCGCCCAGTGTTTACATCACCCTCCACCTTCTTTGCATGAGACGTAGTTAGGTTGGTATCTTTCCTGCTCGAGACATGGTTTGGTTTGCACTCTCTTTGTCCCCATGTTTGTTTACTTACCTCTTTCCATATGAGACGTGGTTTTGAGTTGTTTTGCTTTTGTTCAGGTGTTGCATACCTACTTTTGCTTATAGTATTGTTTCATCGCTTGTTATTTACGTTCTTGTTTCATTGCATGACCATAAGTTATGTTTCCCGCATATCATTTTGCATTCCGCCCTTGAACTACGTAGGTTTGATTTCTTGCAAAGAGGATACGTAGGCAACCTTCTGGTTCAACTTTTGGCAATTGTATTTTGATTTGTTTTCTTACCCAAGTCTTACAGCCTCGTCAAATGGGTCATCTCTAGGCTTTGACATTCACTCATGTTATTCCATGACTTTAAGTTATGTTAAAGAGGAGCAATTGTATACACCCCATTTTTGACCGCCCGCAAGACTTGGATGCTTTGTCCTGCGCACTCAATAATAAAAGTTACATTAAGTGTGGTTCGAGTTCTCAAAGAGGAATTTAGGTTCAAGCTCCAAAACCACTCCCAAACCTTTCATATTCATACCCCAAAAATTCATTTTTGAACATTGTGCCACCTTGCATTAAGTTTAAAATAGTGGAACAGGGGAGCACATTAGGAGCCGACCGTACCACATTGAAAACACTATTCTGGGCGGGAATCAACCAACTATCCATTTTTGAAGATATTTTTGATCTATTTTGCTCAAATTCTATAAATACAAGCATATATCTCAGTGTTAAAGGTTGGAAAATTGTCAAAGAAGTGAAATAACCCTTGAGAGCTCCTTCTTCTTGTGCAAGCTAACTTTGAGATATTTGATCATCCTTATACTATATCTATACACCATACACAACCTTGGAACCATAACTTAGAACCTTGGTTGAGCTTTGTGACTGACAATTCAAGCTCGAGAGTATGCTTGGACCAAGTTTGGTTCACAAACAAAAGCTTACCTCCTTCAACAGGTATAAGCTTACCACCTTGGTATTGCTTTCATTTTTTTCTTCCTCTGGCTATTTCTTGTGTTTTTCGTAGTGTTTTGATCCTATTTTAAGTGTTGAAACTTGGGTTTGAATAGCTACCAAAGGGTAAAGAAGGTTAACTCCCTTTCTTGCACTCTACTTCATAGCTCACACCCTTGTTTTACAATCTTTTCTTTGACTTTTTAAACTAATTTTCAAAGTTTAAAAAAGGCTAAAAAATATGTTTGAGGTCTCAAAAATGGAGAGGTTAGCCACCTCTCCTTGCTCTTGTTCACTAGCCTTGCATTTCCTTGTTATTTCCTACTTTTTTTATGCTCTTTAACATGATTTTGGCCATTGTTTTAGCATATTAGGGGCTGTTTTAGGCCTGTCCTAATCTATTTAATTGGTGTATGCTTTGAATATCTAGCTTGTTATGTTGTAAGTCCTCATATCTAGCTTGTTGTGTTATGCTACCCATGCTTTGATAGCTTTCCTTTGGTTAATTTTCATGTCATGTCAAGAGTCTCATTTTAATAATTGATCCTGCAATCATTTCTACAACCTCCCTCTTTTCTTCTCTTCTTTTGTTTGAGAGTCACTTCAACCAATCGACAGTTATTCAAAGCATGAGAAAGAAACTTATGCTCAATGGCTTAATCTCTTCGGAGATTCATCGTCAAGGCATAGGCTCTCTTTCATGCTTAGGATTACTTCTCGTTTGAAGTTTCTTCTCATGTAGTGGACTTAATCATCACTTTGGACAAACTAATTACAGAATGGCAAAGACTAATAACATCGGCTCAAAATGAACTAAACCGACATAAAGAAAATGTTTAGAGTTGGTTGGATTCGGCCAGACGTTATGTCGAGTCCATCATTTTAAGAATTGTCACTTTTCAATCTGTGATACGTTGATAAAACTTAGGGCATGTCTACTTCCCTCTTTGAGCCTTCATGATAAGAGGGAGGGGTGGTTTTCCATTGCATTTATTCAATTTTGTCCAAACGTGTTCAAAATCATCAAGCCATCAAATTGTGCTTGTTGGTGGTTTCAAACTCGAAATCACTCTTCTTTTGAGTTTCCCATGACAGAGAGGGGCAGAAGGGACAAACAGGGCCTAGAAAGGCTCTATCTGTACTGTTCTCACCTCAGAGCATAAAACATTTTTTGGCATAGCATTTAGAGCCGACCGGCACTTTTTTGACCCGACTAGATCTCACTTCAAGTCGGCCGACTCCCAACGTTTGGTAAACAGAGACTTTGTAGCAGAAACAGAGGGCAGTGGCTAAAGGTGAGGCAAAGCAGTCTGGACAGACATAGCAGTTTTTGAGCACTGTGCATGCGAGCATTGGGTCTCCTAGTTGTTTGAATCAATATTCTTATTATGATTGATGTAATTTCTTATTATTGTTGTAATTAAGTAATTATTATTGTTTATTTATAATCGTATGGCTAGTAAAAGTAGATTGCTAGTTTATTTCTCATTATCCTTGTTGTAATAACTTAGCTAGTTAGTATTCATTCGAATTTGTAATAATTAGTTTAATTCAGACATTCGGACACTTATTCAGACTCTCTTGCACGAGGGCAAATATGTAATAATGGTATATGTCTTCTAACCCCGTTTCTTTGTCCCTTTTATTTACCTGCTTATAATGGTAGTGTAGAGTATCATGTTTTTTTACCATTTCTCTTGTTCGCATACACTTGTCTCACATGCATTTGGGTTCGGCTCATCATACTAACCAATGTTAATTTCAAATACATGTTTATCCCATGTCTTGGATTGAATCAAATGTCATGCTAATTGCCGAAGTTGTTATTTGCGTAATTGAGTGCGTTGCATTAGTCATATTGCATTATTTAGGAGCATGTATATTTTATAATTACTTTGCTTTGTTTGGCTTGCCTTGGATTACTAGGTGAGCACTTATTGCTTTAGCATATTGTATTGCGTGTGATTGTTGCCATGACAAGCATAATACTTTGAGGCTAAGTGCTTAAGTGATTCACATGTTTGAATACCTGTGGATGAAGGCCTTTTTTACTTAAGTTGGAATAAGTTGATTAATGCCAATACAAGCTCGCTTTTTCAAGTGACATGTATGCAAAAAAAAAAAAATTCAAAACAAACATAAAATCAGTAAGTTCCAAATTTTGTAAAGTGGTCTATACTTATCGGAATAAGAGCATATAATGTAAATAAAAATCACGTCATGATTAGTAAAGGCCGATCTTTGATCGGGCGAGTGGGGTACGTAATTGCTAACCTTTCCCTCTCGTAGCTAAGTTCCCGAGCCGACACACTTTGGTGATGACGGACACGTGGCCTTTCGCACGAGTCATGGGTTTCCTAAGTTTTTCAAAAATATTTAGGTGACGACTCTGAAATTTGGTAAAGCAGTCCATTTTTGGCATTTTTGATTAAAATCGATTTTTTAAAAGAATTGTCGGATTTGGACTTATTTGTGATTATCTATTTCACATTGAAATTGTGAAATCAGATTCAGAACCACGGGAGTCCGAACTGTAGGGCTAGTTGTATCCAAAAAGAGCACGAAAAGCAAGCTACAAGGAGCCAAGGCTATCCTCTTCTTCGAAGCAAGAGCCTTAGCAAGAGGGGAAAATTCAGTCATAATCCTCTTAAAAGAGGTACAGAAAAGAAATTTGCAATTCCAGTATAGAAGAAAAGAAAAGAACTCTCTGTTTGTCACAGGGCCTTCCTTCTTATTCTTGGAGTTTACAAAATCACTGAAGGAAGAGTTTAAAGGAGGAATAGAGAAGGGGACCTTAAGGTCAGGGTAATCTGGCTCGAAAAGGGTACCAATGGGTGATAACCTTAAAAGATGGCATATATCAAGGACAGTGGGGGCCATCTGGCCACACTGAAATTGAAAAAATTTAAAAGCTGGATTCCAAAAGCAAAGTGTAGCAGGTATAAGAAAAGGGTCTTCAGGAATAGTAAACATGGCTAGTCGAAGGGTGTCGAAGAGACAAAGTTCTTGGAGGTCCCATGTCCAGTCGGGGACAACACGGTCATACCATTCCTCCAATTCTGGCCTCAATATGGGCCAGCAGCGATGAGGACGGTTCATCCTCCAGCTTCCCCAGTCAAGGCCACCCTCGTAAAGAAGGTAGTGATTCTCTAAACGAGGATACAAAGTAGGAAGCGAGGATGGGGCTTCTCTGAAAATAGGCCCAATAATGTATTCCCCTTGAGCATGGTGACGAGGAACAAAGATTCACCCATCGATGGTACTTGGTCTACAAGCTTTGTATGTCTCCATCTCGCCACTAAGACACCTTCTCAGAACTGCAAATGGACTCATGCATTCAATAACTGGTACTTTTGAGGAAGAAGAAGCCATTAGTGAAAGGCCGAAAGGAATATAAAGAAAGTGAGTATGAGAAGGATACAAGCTTGAAGTCGACAGTGATAGGAGTGAAAGGAAAATATTGGACAAGTGAATAGGTAAAAGCATGAGAGGATGGGGTTTTAAAACCTTTAGGTCCAAAATTACCCATTTAGCATAAAGGGTCAGATAGACCCAAGTTTTGACCCATGTGTGATTAAGACTTTTATTTTAAACTCCTAAAAACACAAGAAAAAGAGCTACAGTATATGGATATTTTATGAAGGAGAGAAACACATTTCAAATACTCAGCTTGGCTTCAAGAACATGTAGTTGGCTTCAAAGCCAGTTTTTCAAATACTTAGATGGGCTTTGAAAGTGGATAGTTGGCTTCGAAGCCGGTTTTATACCTTAAACTCAAGTATAGCTGAGGTTTGCTTACTTGGTAGGTTTTGAGGGTATTCTCTTAGGCTTTTCATAAAAGGAAATTTCCTTCGAAGGAGTCTGTGTAGTATTTTATGATTAGAATATGGTTCCTGCTTGATCTTTTGGATTTCAAAATAAATAAGCACTATAAAGCCGGTACTTGGTCAAGCAATGTAGAAATTTCAAAGACCAAAGGATTTACCTATATATGAAAATACTTTCTTGAACCTTCTAAACAAATCCCTTAGAAGACAAATACTGTCATTTTTGTAGAAGAAACTCCATGTTTCGAAAACACTTAAACAGGCTAAGAAACAAAATTGGTTAATTCGAAGTTGTTATTTACACAAATTATGTCAACAAAGTAAAGAATAAGATCATATTAACCATACAATTGGAATATGAAAGCCTAATTTTATTGATAAAACATTTACATTGGGAGGGCCTATTTGGCTGCGAATTCAACTTCATAACAATAAGGAATAGAAAAAGTAATAAGTTCATTGAATTTAACCCAACAATGTTCTATGAACTTGTGTTCTTTCTTTATCCTATCCTCAGTTCTATCTAGGCTGGGCTGTTGCAACCGATGTGCTCTTAGTTGGTGGAAAAGTTGTTCAACCTTCACGTCGAACTCAGTTTCCTTCAAACTCTGCCCCATTTTGTCCATATCTATATCATCCCAATATACTGAGTCCTTATTTTTTAAGGCATCATATTCTTCGAGAAGGTTCTCTGCTTTGTACTGAGTATGAATTCGAATGGCAGCAATTTCATCCAATGAATCACTAGTGGCCAAGGAGTTTTTATGCTAGTTGAGTAGGAGAGGGAGTTGGTCCAAGAAGATATATAGTTTTGTTTGGGCTATGGGGTTAAGAACATGACCTCGACACAATGTCACAAGCCCAATAAATTTTTTTGTAAAGAATATCATCTCCAAGTACTTTGAAAGGCAGATGAAAGAAGGCGGCAAGCAAAAGTTGAGCTTTATACTGCTGGAATGCAGTTGGAGGAACTGATGGTTGGTAGGAAAAAAAAATGCTGACCCTCGAAGGGAGTGAGTTTCAATTCCTCCATCTAGGTAGGATTTTGAGGGAAAGAAGATGCAAAGGGGTCCTTCCCAAAAGAAGAAGGAAATTGGGGGTCATTCACACACTCTAGCCAGTCAGAAGAGTCAAAATTTTGCCTTCTTAGCCAAAAATAAGGGACTGAACTCCAATGCTTCGATTGGGTTAGGAGTATTTTGCACCATCCTTGTTAGCAGGGAGGGAGGCATACCATGCTGAAAGTAAGTTGTCCTCTAGGAAACAAAGGCGATCAAAGGGCATGTAAGGGTATACCACTGAGTTGCGAGAACAAGGAGGAACTAAAAGAGGATCGTAGAATTCAACAATTCTGTGATGAATCTGCTCCCTTATTTGCGGTTGAGCCAGTGTTGACCAAGCATCCCAGCTAGTGTTTCTAGAAGAAAAGGAGGTAGCATCATCCCATGTAGAAGGTTTCGAAATAGAGGAAGAGGAAGAGCCTCTAAGATCCATTTTGGAAAATTCTTGGTCCAGAGGTTCACATTTCGCAAAAGCTTCCATAACTTGTATAAATGGAGGCAGATAAGTGTGGCCAATAAATGCATGAAGGTTTTTTTGAGATTGATCATCATTGTCCAAGAACACTTCATATGCTTGCTTAATAAGGGAGATGGTTTGGTTAGCCATCAGAAGAGGTATCAGCCTTTTCATCTGCGCAAATAATAGAGGCTCAAAGTGTAAGAATTTAATGAAGTTCAGTGCTTTATTACTAGAAAAACGATTACACTTCCAAAATAAGCAAAGTCCATGCATGTCCTAGGACGTGGGCAAAAGTGCACTAGTTCACTAATATCACCAAGTATTGGGTATATTAGTGCAGGGAGTAATGTTGACTGTATATTTTGTATAAGGCAATCGCAGCTTAACACGTGGCTCGTAAAGGATAATTTGAGGAGTTAATGCAAGTCCCTAATCAACGATAGACACGTAGCAGTTCATATTGATAACAATGGATCTGCGTAGCATTGGAGCAGTTAGGAGGTGCAAGATGACGTGGCCCAACGGTTACTCACAGTTCAAATTCAAATTCATGATGGAAGCCTGACTACAAGAATGGGGTAGTGGAAGCTAACTGTGCGAGGCCATGATTAGTGATCGTGGAAGGACATTTCGACGGTTAGAAGCCCACTTCGACGGTTACCATGAAAAAGTATAAATAGAAAAGAATGCCAACAAAAGAGGGATCCCGACTCAGATCCAAAAACCAGTTATTTACTTCATACTTTTCTTTCCTATACTACATTTCATTTCTTAGGAGTAGTTTCAAGTAATTTTTCATTGTGAACCTTTTCAAGGCTAGGTCATTGTAGGTACATTGTAAGTTCTCATTTATTCAATAAAATTCAGTTTATGAATGGTTATACCGATTATTATTTATAAATTTCTCCTAAGCAAAACTACCAGTAAAAGTCCTACTCATTAAGGTTGAAAGAACTCAACACAATCGTCTGATAATTAGTTGGCAATTAAAACTTTCTATAAAGACTTATTGATCCTTGCTAGCACACTTAAAATTACATAATTAATCTTCAAAAGCCAAAAAAGCCAACAGGACCATGCTAAATTTGGTGAATGGCCTGTTCTGAATCAGTTTCAATCTCTACATTTGTGATTCCCTTTTGGAACAATATGGTGAGACCTCTATATATTGCCTAGATTTCTACTTCCAAACTTGCCCAGATTTCTGCTTCTAGACTTGTGCAATGCCCCAATTTGCCATAAT